TCTGAACCGGGTTGAGACCAGCAACGGCTGTGACCTTTGAAAATGAGATAAACATTAATCGCTTGCTCGCCGAATGACAATTCATGAATTACAGACGATTATATCAGAAGCGAAAGGCCGAAGATGTTTCTTGCCTAAATTTTCATTTGGATGTTTGATTTTCTTGTTATGAATGTTGGTTGTTGCTTGGGATCCGTAGGTGAGCTGCAAAGTACTGATGCCCCATTTTCGATGCACTTGTTCAGCTGTCGGTTGCAACTTATGGCGGCCTATAGTACTGAAGCAGATACAAAGAACTTGCTCATTTAAGGGTTCACTTATGCGAACAGAACAGAATTGTTTCGATTTTCAAATGTTCGACTTTTCGACTGTATTGCGTTAAACGTTGTATTTAGAAAGAACAAGAAAAGAATGCGAAAGTCCAGAAAATGTTGAAGAAATATTTCACCGTCGCTTGGCAAACGATGCGATTGACAAGGTGTTCAAACCATTCATAATTGATAAGTAAGAAAAATTTAATGGCTTTCGGCGTCTGATATACAAATCCAATGGTTCATAAACGACGGGGCAACATTCTGATAAGCAAAATCGGCGTAAATACTTTTTATGTTGAGGGGCATTTATGCCTACCCAAAGCTCAGTTTTAGCATCTATGAGGAGAGAAGAAATAGACAAATTATAGGATTGTGTTACAGAGTGAATTACGACTAAGTGAATACCTATCTGCCACAGTAGCTGAAGGCCTTTCCCGAACTCCAATACGATCAGCTAACAGGACGATGGTAAAGAGGTCAATTAGCTGTTGCTTCTGGCGGTTATGACCTCCTTCCCAAGCGAAGCAGTTGGAGAGGGAGAGATACCGCCTGTATAAATTTCCATGGAAAACATGTCGTATAGTAGAAGAATGTAAATATGTTCATCTGGTTATAGGTCTCTGACGGTAGCCAGTGGTTTGCACTTTACTGTAAACTATTTGTTTGTCTGGCAGTCAGATGATCAGTTTGTCAGCTGATATGCATAGTACTGTTCAGCTGGTATCGGCATCTCAGGCTATCAGACGATCTGTTTGTTATCGAAGATACAGCTGTGAAGAGAATATTATTAGATTAACGACTAGGCATTGCATCATGGGAGGTCTTAAGTCTGTACTAATCAGAATGCCTACAGCTTTTAAAACATTAGCGGTTACTGTATGGAGTTAAAATATCTGGTATAAATCTGAAGACGTCATCTCAGATCATTGAACGTGTCAACAACAAGTCCATAAACAGTCAGTATTACCTTAGGAATGTGCTTCAACGCCAGCGCTTCTGAACCGCACAAAACCAGCCTCTGCTGCTGGATATGGTCCGCGAATGATAGACTGAAATATAGAGATAACCTCAAACTTTAATTAAATGATTATCCACTATCGCTATAACTCACTTGCTGTTGAACAGGGGCTTTAACTGCTGCAGGAATCGGTCGAATTTAAGTAAGAGGGCTACTTGTGCAGATGTTTGTACGGAACCAGGCCTGAAATAGAGTGTGGCTTTAAAAATACATGAACAAAATTAATGATGATTTTGTATCCGTCTCAGGTAGTATTTCAGTGCACACTCAGCCAAGCTGCCTATGAAATGAAATTTTTACTGTTGGAACAAGATCGTCAAAGAATCTGGTTTTTCAGAATAGACATAACAGCATAGCATTTTGCGCAGTTTAAACGGAAGCAGGGTGAATTCTACTCGCCTTTTTCTTCTGACATATGTCAGTGCCTCGTGCGGATTCCAGTTCATCGATAGCATAAGGTATGAGCAGATTAGGAGCCCGGTTCTTCCCAGTCCAGCATGACAGTGAACCGTGATCTGAAAAGCACCATCAGACTAATAACAAATATGGATGTCGTACTGCATGTACATTATACACATGTTTTACACACACAC